CATTTCAAGTCTTAGAGGTTGCTTTAATGGTAACCCTACAAGTGGAAAAGGTCAAGAAACCTATTGTGACTTCATGGAGGGATTTATAAATGGCAATTGAGAATGGTGACTCAAAAGGATAGGGAAAGCTCCCAGAAATATCTGAGAAGAAGAACCACATTGGTTTGGGTTACGAATCATCAAAGGCTACTCTGAAAGGAAAAGCACGATTTCCACCAATCCAGGAAACCTTCATCGGTAAAGGGGTAGAGCATGGAGGACAAGTGTCAATGATATCCAACAAAGGCAACATTAAAATGGAATCTGATTTCATCCATGAGTGTGCCCCAGGCGAAGAACTGGACGATTGTGGAGATTCCTAAGATTTTTTTTTTCAAAGAAATTTTCTTTGTTTTTGAAAAGAACCTATGCCAAGCCCGAGGCATAAAGGTTGTTTGTAAGGATCCCCCGTTTGTTTCAACCAATATTCATGATTAATAAAAGTATGTTTTGTACTCAATTAAGATCCTTGTTTTTCTTTTTGCATTTATACTTCATATTTAAAATATCAATACTTCCTTTCATATGCATTTTCCAAATTCATGTACTAAAGAAAAACTACACCAAAACATGATAAATATGTAGATCCATGCCCAAAATCACTGATAATGTTACTGCTGCTATCCGATATGATTTTGATGCTCCCGTCAACCAAGCTGAAGAGGAAGATGATGAGGATCTTGAACTTTCTGAAGAATTGCCAAGAAGTATAGAGAAAAAGCTGACAACATACAACGATACCAAGAATCTATTGAGACCATTAACCTTGGCACAAAGGAAGATCCGAAAGAGATCAAGCTGGGGGAAACATTAGAAAAAAGCGTCAAAAAAGGGCTGGTCAAGTTGTTACGTGAATACGTGGATATATTCGCCTGGTCTTACAAAGATATGCCAGGATTGGACACAAAAATTGTGGTGCACAGACTACCTCTCAAGGAAGGTTTCTCCCTGGTCATGCAGAAGCTCGGGAGAACTCGTCCAGACATGTCCAGCAAAATTCGAGAAGAGGTCCTTAAACAATTTGATGCAGGGTTCTTATCGGTGGTAGATTATCCACCTTGGATAGCTAATATCGTGCTAGTACCCAAGAAGGACGGTAAAGTACATATGTGTGTAGTTTAACGGGATCTAAATAAAATAAGTCCTAAAGACGACTTCCCACTACCTTACATAGATGTTCTAGTGGACAATACAACTCAAGCTTTGGTATTCTCATTCATGGACGGTTTCTCAGGCTATAATCAAATCAAAATGACACCTGAAGATATGGAAAAGACTACTTTCATGACACCTTAGGGAACTTTCTGCTACAAAGTAATGCCGTTTGGTTTAAAGAACGCAGGGGAAACCTATCAACGAGTAATGGTCACACTATTCCATGATATGATTCATAAAGAATTTGAGGTGTATGTATATGATATGATTGCCAAATCTCATAAGGAGGAGGACCACATCATACATTTACAGAAATTATTTGATCATCTGCGAAGGTTCTAAGGTTGAATCCAAACAAATGTACATTCGGTGTCAGATCAGGAAAGTTACTAGGTTTTATCATAAGTCAACATGGTATTGAGGTGGACCCCGACAAAGTAAAAGCCACATAAGAAATGCCAGCTCCAAAGACAGGGAAAGAGGTTCGTCGGTTCTTAGGGCGATTAAACTATATTTCAAGGTTCATATCACACCTAACTGCTATGTGCGAGCCCATATTCAAATTACTGTGAAAAGATCAGACTGTTACATGGAATAATGGTTTCCAGACAGATTTTGAGGCGATAAATATATATCTATAAGAGAAACTTATTTTAATGTCGTCGGTTCCTGGAAGACCACTCATCATGTATCTGACAATACTTGAAGGATCAATGGGATGTGTATTATACCAATAGGACATAATTGGTAGAAAAGAACATGCAATCTATTACCTTAGCAAGAAATTTACTGACTGCGAAACCAGGTACTCACTCCTCGAGAAGACTTGTTGCGCATTGGCTTGGGCTACTAAAAAACTGAGGCAGTACATGTTAACATACACCATATGGTTAATAGCAAGAATGGATCCTTTAAAGTAAGTGTTTGAAAAACCAGCTCTTACAGGGAGGATTTCCCGATGGAAGATTATCGGAGTACGACATACAATATGTTACTCAAAAGGCCATTAAAGGAAGTGTACTAGATGATCATCTAGATAATCAACTGTTACCGGAATATCAACCAATGAAGTTCGAATTTCCAGACAAAGATGTTATGGTTATAGATGACTACGAAATACCAGGGCCCGGCGAAGGACCTGAACCAGGGGCACGTTGGACACTCATGTTTGACGAAGCTTCAAATGCATTGGGGCATGATATCGGGGCTGTTTTGACTTCTCCAAAGAACTATCATAAACCTTATACTACAAGGTTATGTTTTGACTGCACCAACAATATCGCTGAATATGAAGCTTGTATCCTAGGTCTGGAAGCTACCATTGATCTAAGAATTAAATATCTTGAAGTATTTGGAGACTCCATGTTAGTCATATACCAAGTCAAAGGTGAATAGGACACTAAACACCCCAATTTGATTCTATATTAGGATCATGTCTTAAAGCTAGCTACGAAATTTATCGAGATTACCTTTAACCACATCCCACGAGAAGAAAATCTGATGGAAGACACTTTAGTAATCCTATCAGCCATGTTCAAGGTAACCTGGCCTAACCACGAGCCGCGCATCACAATCAGACATTTTGAAGAGCCTGCAAATTCCCTTGCCATTGAAGAAGGACCAGATAAAAAGCCTTGGTTCTATGACATCAAGATGTATCTTAAAAAACAAGAATATCTAGAAAATGCCTCGATCATTGATAAACGAACTCTGTGAAGGCTAGCCTCAAATTCTTTCTGAGTGGTAATGTATTATACAAAACAAATTACGACATGGTGCTACTCAGGTGTGTGGAGAAACAAGAAGAGAATACGTTAATGAGAGAAATCTATGAAGGTACTTTCAGAATCCATACAAATTGGCATTCTACCTCTTATTAATATATTCTTGTTAGTGTGACCGTGTAGGTTCTCGTGATGTTTACAATTATAATAAATTACACATTTAATATAAGAAACAATGATCAATATCTAGCAACATATAACTGCTACCCAAGGCATGGAAAAGGCATATATATATATATATATATATATATATATATATATATATATATATATATATATATATATATATATATATATATATATATATATATATATATATATATATATATATATATATATATATATATATATATATATATATATATATATATATATATATATATATATCAATTTTGGGCTTTTCTCCTTTGGATATTTGATTTAATTTCGTCCAGAAATAATGGAGATTCAGTTGAGATTTGTTTCTCCAAATCAGCTTCACAAGAAAATATTTGATTTGAATTCAAATTTAAATCTCCATAATTTAAACCTAGCCTAATTAGATAATCAAACAAATCATATTTATAAAAGGTAGCAACAATATTTGTTGCCCACATCAGTAGAAGAATGCGCTCCAAGTAACTGAAAAACATGCGATTGTTGCGATAGTATTATCCTGTAGGCAAGGGACACATGCTAGGACATATGTTCCCACATGTGTACTTCTTCACAGAAACAACTTGAGAAAATAATGTTGTTTTGCATAATGCAACCAATCCGAAAGGAATAACAAACTTCTCATTTGACAAATTTTTAGAAAAACAACATTCTTCAGAAATATACAAAACACGCAACATAAGATGATCAAGAACACCACACACAAGCACAAATAGTAAACATAAACAATAGAAATCAGAGTAGAAGCAACACAAATTTGAAGCATAGTTAGAAGTTAATAGGGGTTTAAACAGTATGAATGCTCTAAAATAGTAAGTCATGAAATCATTCAAGACCAGTAGTTAGTCATGCGTGCACACATAGTTAGTAGTCAGTAGTTAAGATTCAGAAGCTACTACTAACACACAAAGAAATTTATAATATGAGAGTTCGCACACTACAACTCACACATGCTCAAAGGCCCGATGTCAGGCCAAATGCTTCAGCATGTGAGCACACATTATAAAAACAGTTAATACCAATCAATAATTAGTACTAAGGACAACAACAATAGTAGCATATACATAGTTAGTAGCCAGCCAAAACCTATTATCACCATGCACCATTACTCCCACTTTTGCCATAATTTGCCAAAGGTGTTCCTCAGAAATTACAGTTAGTCATCACAAAATCAATATGTTAGTACATACGCATAGTAGATCAGGATTACACAATCATCAACAACAAAAAGGACAAATGTTGAACATGATGCTAGAGCATCAGGAATTCAGGATAGACATTCAAAATGTAGTTCATCAGTGCAAAAAAAATATAGTTAATGTTACAAGTTCATTACAAAACCAACAACAACAAAAATCCTATATAGACAAGGGCCAAAAATTATATGAATGGAGACCAAAACATATAGTTGGACAATTTCCATTCACTTCATATACCACATGTCATACCAGATGTTTTGCACATCCTGGTTGACCATAAAAACTTAACATTCAGAAGAGTGATCCTCCTATTCACTTCCAAATTCTTCCTCTGCACTCCCAGATTTTTCTTTTCACTCTTATCTACTTCTTCACTTAAGGATTCTAAGGAGATAAAATCTTTATCAGATGGTTCTTTAGCTTCCTCTACATTGTTATCCTTTTCTTTATCCTCACCTCCCCCCTCATTGGTTAACATTCTGATCTGGCCATCCACATCGTTCTTCCTGATGGTACTTGCATTAATTGTCTCTTGCAAAGTCTTAGATACCTCTATTAACTTAAGTAGTACATTGTTTTTGGTAGATTTAGAGATAATAGATGAACTCCCACCAGTAGCTTGATTGTTATTCTGAGGCACCACAATGTCTAGGACATGTGTTCCAACTCATAGCTTCTTATCAAGGGTTAGAGACCCACCATTCTTGTTTGGAATGTCTTGAGGTTTAATAATCTCATGGTATTGACTTAGTATAATTCCAGATAGTAGACAAGGAAAGGATATAGGAAGCTTAATATAAAAGGAATTCACATGCTTCATTATTTGATAAAACACACACTCACATAAATTAACTTGGCTTTTGTGCCAATTAGGAAGATAAGGTTGGCCAAAGCAGCATAAATACTAGAGTTGTGATTTATGGGTGTCGAGTTGAATGCACTGATCCTATTCAAGATGGAATACTTCACACTTAATTTTCCACTAGGGAGCAGCCCTTTGTTGGGCCATTTCTTTATTTTTCCAGCAATTAGCTTGTTAATAATCTTTTCCCTGGAGGGAGTCTTATCAGATCCTCGAGACTTGATTATGCAAAGGTAATTACTGATAATTGATACTAAAACTTAACATATTCCTCTGACATAAACTTTCATGAACTCCTGGCTATCTTCATCGTTACAAGTAGGTGAGATATTCATAATAAAATCCCTAACCAGCTTTTCATAGCAGGGGTCAATATTAGTAACAGTCTTTACCTCTCATACATTTTTCAACAATTTTATAATCTATTTACATTTTAAGGATTCTTTACTCAACTCCTTTTCTTGAGCAGTTCTCCTTTGACACACATATTTCCATTTATGAACACTTGATTTAGAGTTAAACAAAACATTTTTCAAAGGTGCCGCTGGAACATTATCAGGAATTCTTTTTCCATCAATTTTTCTTCTAAAGGTGGGCACAATGTCCTGGACATCAACTTTGATATTGGTCTCTAACTCACTAGATTGAACAAGTTTTCTTTTGAGTGACTTCTTCTCTTCATTTTTCTCATCAAATCTTCTCCTCTTACTCACAGGTGACCTCTGAGGAGTAATCTTCTTCACAAGATGAGTTTTAGAAGGAATATCTTTCTTCTTTTTCAGAGGAATTGCCCTAGGAGTTTTCAGCTTCAGAATATTTATAGTAGGATTTGAAGTATCAACCTTATGCTCTTTACCTTTAGCTTTATCAGTAAGAGACTTAGCTAAGATTTTCAAAACCATCAGAGATGGTTTTTGATCAGCCTTTTCTTCAACAATCCTTTTCATGATGTTGGCAATGAGGGTGTTATCATCCTCATCGCCATCTTCATTTATTTTACTATGAATGTTAGCCTCTTTGTTTTGAGGATTCTCATTTCCTAAGTCTTCAAATTCGTTACTTTCATCCAATATCTTATTCACATAAGTATTAAAAACATGTATATCCACTTTAAGATTGTCATAAGTTGGGTTAGCATGAGGTTTATTAAGATGTACATTAGATGTATTACCATATGATTCAACATTAGGTTCAACATGTTGTCGTAACTGGCAAAAAAAAGAGGGTCGCATCACTACTTATTTATCCTAAGGACGGGAAACGAACGAATAAACCCTAATTATTTAGAGATTGGTGGATTTGCGAGTTGATTAGATAAGTGGAAGGTGTTAGGTACCCTTTACTTCCCTTGTACTCAAGGGAACCTTCTTAGACCTAGGACTTATAGGGAAGGAATCTTTAATTTATTCAATTATACCATCATGTATTTCAAAATATTATCAGGTATAACAAGAAGAAACAAGGGAAAATAAGTTTTTTAAGTTAGTGGACTCGCCTTGGTTTTTCAACAGTGTGCCTACGTATCTTTACCAAGAAAGAAATCAGAGTCCTACGTAGTTCCGATTTGTTTGTTTAGTGTTTTTATAGGATTGTGTTAAGTTTCTTTCTAATGATTTGAACCTGTCTGAGTTTGAATATTAAGTGATGGTAAGTGAAATTTTGCATTCAGTTTGAAATTGACTGCTAGACAATCCTTTATTGAAAAACAGGCTTGAGTTTGATTATGTTGGTAAAAAAAGTTTTTGAATTGTTAGTTGTTTTAATGATTATTTAGATAAAATATTGAAATAAATAAGAATGAACTGGGGTTTGCAAAAAACAATTATATGGTTAGTAAAAGTATTTTCTATTTATTTGACAAAAATATTAATTAATATTGTAAATACCTAAAATTAGAGTTACGTGATTAAAATTTAGAAAGAAAATATGATTAATATTTTAATTAATGGGTTATTTAATATTTATAGGAAAAAATAATTTGTTGTTAAAATTAATGTAATTAGGTTTAATAATATAATTATAGTAAATATTTATAATAAACAAAATTATGCTAATATTATAATTTAGAGAAAAAACTATTTTATATTAACTTGTAAAATAAAAAAAATTAGAAAATAAAAAGAAAATAGATTATCAAGAAGAAATTGAATTAAAAAAGACCGGGGGGTGTATTTTAGTTTTTTGAAGTAAATTTGGAGGTGCTAAAAGGAATGGGCTAAGCCTAGAAGCGATTTGAAGTCCAATAGGCGCAGTGTGGATGGACCAGGGAAGTTATGGTGTACCTTAGGACCCGTATGTAATCTCAAGCCTCAACTCAACTTTAGTTTTGATGAAAGACAAACAAGCACTATGGCAAGAAGGAAAATAAGTGGAATTAGCTTAAAGCATCATTCACTCAAAGCTTCAAGGATCATGGCAAGCAATCAAGTATATCAATTCTCTTTTGAACTACATTGATTAGAAATGCTCAAAAATGATATACACACTTGCCACAACACTTCACTTAAAGTTTAAAACAAATTCTAAGTTTTTCACTGATGTAAATCGATTAACATATCATGTAAATCGATTTACACATGTTTTTTCAAAAACTGATTGCCCCTGGCAACAATCGATTTACATGGAGTGTAAATCGATTGATTACTGAACTGAATTAATTTTTTAACACTTGTAAATCGATTTACACATCATGCTAATCGATTTACACTTCAATTTTTTTTGAAAACAAGAACGTTACAAACTCGTGAAATCGATTTACATCTAATGCTAATCGATTTACACGTTGTAATTTTTGAAAAATCTGAACTGGTTTCAAGATATCCTTCACGCCTTTTCTCCAATAGATGCATGGTCATACAATGCATCTTCTCAAGTTTTACAAACAGAAAAGTATCCTTTTGGAAAGGTATCTTGATTACTTTAAATACAAAATCTTTCAAATTATAAAACAAATCTTCTCTTATGCAATAATTCTGAACTTTGTAAAATATTCAAACTTCATATTTCTTAAGTTTTAAGAACAAAGATTTTCTGCACTTTCACACATATAAGAACAGAAATCTTTGAGCATTGTCTAACCATTGTGTTAAAATTTGAATTGCTTACAAGAGAAGAAAGAAGAAACTTCATTGAAGTCACTCTATGTGAATCAACATCTTTCAAGAAATCATATTTCACAGAATTATACAAAGTGTAACTTATTTCCAGGATTGTTGGAATTATGATTTAGAATACTTTTGTACCTTGTTGTCCATTATTGGAAACAAGAGGTATCTTTTGAGAGGATTGTTCTCAAGAGACTTATTGGAAATCCAAGAGGGTGTTATTGGTATTTGTTAGTGTCTTTAGTTGATAAGACTAGGAAGAGTCTTGTAAAAGTTCTAACAAAATAGTGAAATCTCTTGCGTGTTTGCAAGGGGACTGGACGTACTTCCGGGGTGTGGAAGGAACCAGGATAAACCTCCGTGTCTCTTTACTTTCTGCCCTTTACCATTTTCCAAAGCACTAAATCAAAATTAGAAAGTGTAAAATAAGTCAAAAATCGACCACCACCTAATTCACCCCCCTCTTAGGCGCAATCTTAAACTTACAATTGGTATCAGAGCAGGTTATAAGTAACCTGCTCCTAGAGATCCAGAATGGCTTCCGCAAATCATCAACCTATTTTCAGAGATGGTGGTAGTAACAACAAGCCTCCTCTATTCTGTGGTGAATATTTTGATTTCTGGAAAATACGCATGAAGGCGCATCTAGAAGCGCAAGGAGAGGAAATATGGGATGCCGTTGAAAATGGTCCATTTATCCTGGTAACGATAATCAATGGCGTTGGCTCTTCAAAGCCTAAAACTGCATGGGACGACGATGATAAAAAGAAAGTTCTCTATGACAAAAAGGCAATAAACCTTCTTCAAGGTGCACTTAGTATGGACGAATTTTTCCGTGTCTCGACATGCAAAACAACAAAGGAAATATGGGATACTTTGGTACAAACTCATGAAGGAACGACTGAAGTAAAAAAATCAAGGCTAAATACCCTAAGTCAAGAATACGAACTATTTCGAATGCAGCCCGGAGAATCCATTCTTGACTTACAAAAGAGATTTGTGCACTTGACAAATCACTTAAGTGCTCTTGGTAAAACCTTGACAAATGATGAACTAAACTTGAAAGTCCTTAGATCATTGACTAGGGAATGGCAACCAAAGGTAACGACAATCTCGGAAAAGAAGAGTCTCTCCGCAATGACTTCCGCTACATTATTTGGCAAACTTCAAGAATACGAAACGGAACTCGGTAGACTTGAAAAACATGAGAATCTAGAAAAGAAATCCAAAAACATTGCCTTAAAAACTGATTCAAAGGAAGTAGTAAAAGAAGACAATCTGGAAGAAGATGAAAATTTCATGCTTCTTGTTAAAAGACTTGGGAAATTTTTTGGCAGAAATGACAAGGGCGGATCTCATGCAAATAAGAGAAATCACTTCAAGAAAAGAGAAGCCTCCATATCAACACAAGATGTCTCATGTTATGAATGTGGAAAACAAGGACATATCAAGCCAAACTGTCCAAATCTCCCAAAGAAAAACAGATTCAAAGGAAAGGACTCAAAACACAAGAAAGCCTACATAGCATGGGAAGATAATGATATGAGTAGTACATCGGAATCGGAAAGCGACGAATGTGCAAATTTAGCCTTAATGGCATCGCATCACTCCGACAATGAAGAAGAGGTTAGTAATGAATTTAATCTTTTTGATGATGATGTTCAAGGTGCAATTGATGAACTCTTGAAAGAATGCAAAATTTTATACAAAAAGGTGTCAAACCAAGAAAAATAACTTCTCATTTGTCTCGAAAAAATTGACACCATGACTAAAGATTTTGATCTTCAAAAACAGAATTTTATAAAAGAGAAGGAAAACTTTGCATGCTCCAAGTGTGAATCAAATGTCTTTCAAATTGTTCAATTGAAAAGAGTAATTGAACAATATGAAAAAGGACAAATAGGATTGGAAGGATTACTAAGCCAACAACGTTATCCAAATGATAAAAGAGGTCTTGGTTATGTGAATACTAAGAAACCAAGTAACAATCCCACTGTTTTTGTAAAGGCTAGTAATAGTTCCAATCCCAAGAGAGAAGAAAAGAAGCAAGTTGTTCATAATCATCAAAAGAAAAAGCCTAATGTATCTAAAAGAAAACAAATTCCTAGATACAAGACCAAATTTTTTCCAAACTGTTTTTACTGTGGTATTATTGGACACACACCCAATGCATGCTATATTAGAAATTTCAGTATGGCTAGTGGACACTATGCATGGGTGAAAAAGGGAACTAACTATGAAGGACCCAAGGCAACTTGGTTACATAACAAGAAATAATTTGTTTTTGTAGGTATGCTTGAAATCCACATCAAACCTTTGGTATCTTGACAGTGGATGTTCAAAGCATATGACAAGAGATGTACACCAATTTTAATATCTAGTACATAAAGCCAAAGGGTATGTCACCTATGGAGACAACACCAAAGGAAAGATTCTTGGAGTTGGAATAGTTGGCACACCTCCATCCATTCAAATTGAGGATGTTCTCTATGTTGAAGGATTAAAGCAAAACCTTCTTAGCATAAGTCAACTTTGCGATAGAGGGTTCAAAATCAAATTCAACAAAGAAGAATGCCTAATTATGGATGAGGCAACCAATGAGGTAAAACTCAAAGGTATAAGATCTAACAATATTTTTATGATTACTCTAGATGATTTGTCTATGAAGGTACAATGTCTTATGGTATACAACAATGACGCTTGGTTATGGCACAAGAGGATTGCTCACATTCACATGGAGCACTTGAACAAATTAGTTAAGCATGATTTAGTTATTGGTCTACCAAAGATAAAATTCATCAAAGACAAATTATGTAGTGCATTCCAAAAGGGCAAACAAACAAAATCAACTTTCAAACCAAATAATGTGGTTTCAACAACAAGACCACTTCAATTGTTGCACATGGATCTTTTTGGTCCATCTAGAACAAGAAGCTTCAGAGGTAACATTTATGCTTTAGTTATTGTAGATGATTTTTCCCGTTTTACTTGGACTTTGTTTTTAGTGCACAAAAATGACGCATTCAAGGCATTCAAGAGATATGCAAAACAAGTTCAAAATGAGAATTCATTAAAGATAACATCAATCTGAAGTGATCATGGTGGAGAGTTCCAAAACAATCTGTTTG